AGGGCAGAGGGGCTGGGGGGGCAGGTGGGCTGCTCGGGGCCCAGGGCAGAGGGGCTCGGGCGGGGGCAGGTGGGCTGCATGGGGCCAAGTGGGCCGCGTGGGGCCGAGTGGAGGGGCTCAGGGGAGGCGGGCGGGGCCAGCGGCACAGCAGGCTGGGCTCCTTCCAAAGGCGAAAACCAGGGTTCTAGGCAGAACAACACACGGATGGTGGCTCAGGACACCCAGAATGACCACAGTGGGAGCCTGGGGCTAGGGGCTGGCAGGGCCACAGACAGAGCTATGGCAGGTGGGTACACAGGGCCACCCCCTCAGGCTCCCCCTCCACATGCCCCGCTGCGGGCTCTGCTGTGCTAACAGGCCCGAGGCACTGGCCCTGCACGTTTGAGAACACGTTTGCTGCACAGCCTGCTTTGTTATCTTTGCTGTAGAAAACTACGTCCGGTCACTCAGAGTTGCCGTTTCTCAGAGAAGGCGCGGTCTCCTGCCTGCAACCCCACCGCCCCCCCTGCCCATACCCCTTTGTGCCCTCCTTTGTTAACTGTGCACTCTCATGGCCTCCTCCGAGCAACACCAGGCCCCAGGGGGAAAACGTGGGTTCTCAGGAGGGGGAGGGGCAACAACCTCACTCTTCATAAAGCCCGGATATACCCAGGATGTAAACAGATACACAGAATATTTGTAGTACTAACACGTCATGGGGTCGATCAGCAAAGAGTGTCTAAAAAGGCTCCTTACGGGGCCAATAATGAAAAAAAGGTTGAGAAACTCAGGCTTAATGCTCTTCCCACCAGTCTTGCAAGAATCAACCCAGGCATCACCTCCTCCAGGAAGCTCTCCTGGGTCCCCAGTCTGGGCATTCCTGGGGGGCCTCCCCACCACCCTGGGCTCATGTCTGTCTGCGAGCTGTGGGCACCCTCGCTGCTCTGGCTCTCGTGCCTTTCCTATCGTGGTGTCTGGGCTCCTTATCTGTCCACAGGCTCACTCAGCATGAGTGCTCAGTAAATCCCAGGGAAGTCAGCAGGAAAGCAGTCTCCCAGATAAAGCAGAGGGCGCCCCGACCCCTGGGCGGGCGTGGGGTGGGGTGGGAAGGGGCGGGCGGGGGAGGCAGGTGCCTGCAGGAGGCCTCACCTCGGTAGAGCAGGGCAGTGTGCCGGCTCAGGGACCACAGGCCGTAGAGCGCGCTGAGCCGCCCGAGCACAGCCCGCAGCGGGGGCGGCACGCCGGGCTGGTGCGTGTACTCGTGGAACCTCCTCAGGACCGTGAGCTCCAGGAACGCCAGGGCCAAGGAGCGGCAGTAATACACCTTCAAACGACACACAGCCACCACCCACCCGTGAGCAGGCAGCTGCGGCCCAGGCACAGCCACCGTTCACGGGGCAGAAATCATCGGGGACAGTGACCAAGGTCCGCATTCCAGGGCACGTCCTAGGAGGACAGAGCACCAAGTGAAGCAGTGAAGACAGGGCGGGGCTCGTGAAAACACAAAAGAAAAGGGTGCACGCAGACAGACCTGGGGTTGGAGCCGGCTCTGGAGCTCGGACACCCGCTGACCGCTCAGTTCCCGTCTGGAACACAGGCTGGCCCCGGCATCCTATGCACAAGGACAGCGGTGCTTGCCCAGCGCCGGCCGGCACTGCAGTGCGGGGCGTCCCCGGCGGGTAGCTCCCCACGGGCACGAGATCTATGCTCTTTTGCCCCTGGGGCCACAGAGAAGGCGCTTGGCAAGCTGCTCACGGGACTCAGCTGGGGGGATTTCGGCTTCTCCAAGGATAGGACCACTCTCCTCTCCTCTCAAGTTTCTTCACAGTTTTTCTGTCCCACTCACATATCATGTCCAGGGAACAGCTGAGTAGAGGCCAAGGCGTGAGCCCACCCGGCTGGGCTGCGCGTACAGAACGAGCTCTGTTGCCAGCTTCACTTGTGAAAGCAGAAAGTCACGCAGGTCTCCTGGTCCCCACTTCGTCTTTTTTAAACAATATCCAAAACATCTGCTGATAATTGTTAGCTTCACTTATTAGCGTGTTTTTTAAATTAATTTAGTCATTTAGTGTTTGTGTGTGTGTGAGGAAGATCAGCCCTGAGCTAACATCCATGCCAATTTTTTTTTTTTTTTGCTGAAGAAGACTGGCTCTGAGCTAACATCTGTGCCCATCCTCCTCCACTTTATGTGGGACACCGCCACAGCATGGCCTCACAAGCAGTGTGTCGGTGCGCGCCCGGGATTGGAACCCGGGCCGTCCGTCAGCAGGGGAGAGCGCGCACTTAACTGCTACACCACGGGGCCAGCCCCTATTAGCGTTTCTTTCCCCGCCTCCGATTTATCATTTTACCAGATTTTTTAATGAGAAAAATAATGCATGTATTGCCTGATTTGTTATGATGAGCATGTGTTAGTTCTGAAATTAAAAAAAATAATCCAGCAAAGTGATAAATGGGGAGAGAGGAGAAAACCTGACCTGGAAGTCCCTGGTCAAGTGCCCGGCACCACACTGCTCAAAACGTTAGCGGAGCTCAACCGGGCGTGGCGCAGAGTACAGGGTGAAACTGATGACCGAGAGGGGCTGGGCTCCGTCTTCCAGACCTGGTCTGCATTCCAGAGCAGACGCAGGTCAGCACTTCCTCGGCCATGGTTCTCCCAGGGCCCGCCCAAGACCACAAGCCCTCAAGAGAGAATCCAGGGGGTGGGGGCTTTCTTCCCTCTGTCTCGGGCCAGTCTGGTCCACCCCAAGACCCTGCTGGGCCACTGCCTGCTGAGAGGGCACACATCCCATCCGCTGCTGTCCGCACCTCCTCTGCTCTTGCGCGCACTATGGCGTGTGTGCCCTCGGCTTTGGCAAGTGAGGGCTGGGAGGTGAGGCCTTTGCTGGGTGCAGGGGGTGGGTGGTGCAGGCCCTCAGGCACCCACCCAAAGCCCTTGGGACCTCACGGGGAGGAAGCTCACGAAGCTGAAGACGCAGGCTGGCAGTGAGCGCTCCCCGGGCCAGGCGCTGAGCCCACAGCCCCCAGTACATTGCTGGGATCCCTCTGGACACAGGTAGCACGGGGCAGAGACTCACCTGACCCCAGGCAGCCTGGGCCCAGCGTCCGCCCCTTAACTACTTCACTAGAGCCCGTTAATACATTAAATCCCACCAACACCCCCAAAATGTGCTCACGTGCTGCGGGCTCCTCTCCTTGTGGGTCCCTCGTGAATCTGAGGCCAGGCTGACCCCAGCAGAGAGGCCCGGCTCAGAACTAAACCCGAGCTCTGGGCTCTGTTATACTCTCTTCCTCAGCCACGTGGATTTTCCAGTATTAAAATCACAGTGTTTTAATGTTAATTTCCCATGAAAGCAGCACACTTCAATTTCAGTGAGGGAACAGGCTAGCAACAGGCCTGGAAAGGCAGCCCCACCTGTGACCTTGCCATCATCAAAAACACACCCTGGGGGCCGACCAGTGGTGCAGCGGTTAAGTGCCCGTGCTTTGCTGCAGCAGCCGGCAGTTCGCAGGTTCGGATCCCAGGCGTGCACTAACGCATCGCTTGTTAAGCCATGCTGTGGCAGCGTCCCATATAAAGTAGAGGAAGATGGGCATGGATGTCGGCCCAGGGCCAGCCTTCCTCAGGAAAAAGGAGGATTGGAATTGGATGTTAGCTCAGGGCTAGTCCTCCTCACAAAAAAAAATCAAAAACAAAACAAAACAAACACACCCTGAGTCCCACTGAGTTCCAGTCACTGGCACAGCAGCTCACGGCCTGGCCCTGGGGTCAGGGAGAGCCCGCCTCCGAACCCACGCCGCTTTCTCGAGTGTGCAAGTGTGGGCAAATGGCTTACGTCCTAAGCCTGAGCTTCTGGGTCCGTGAAGAGGGACGGCGACAGCACCAACCTCCCAGTGCACCGGGAGGAGGTTCAGACGGGCTCTCGCGTGGAGGCAACGGCGGCCTCTACTCTCCCGTCATCTCAGTCCCGGGAACCGGACGTGCACGCAGCTGCCAAGTGTTCCTCTGGGAAATGTTCAGATAAGACACCTGTGGGGCCCGGGCTCTGGGGTCAACCCCTGCAACCTGCTGTCCGGGGCGTCTGATGCAGCGGCTGGCTCAGGAGCCCACATCTACACCCGGCCCCGCCGACTGGACGAGAAGGGCTGGGTGGACGGCTCTCCTGGGCAGCTGTCAGGCCACCAAACTGTCGTTTGAGAATCTGAAATAACGGCTAGAGAGACCAGGCTAGGTCTAGGGTGAGGGCAGTTATGTGTTGGGCCTAGATGGTCATGTGGACCCCACGGGTCAGCCACGTTGGGCTGTGGGCAGGCAGGAAGCTTGTCTGAAGAGAGGCGTGGCAGAGCAGAAAAGGCCCCGTGGCCCCTGAGAGTCCATGAGCCACAGAGAGTGGTTCCACTTCCCACCGGCTTCCCAGATCCAGACAAGAGGCCTCCACAGTTGACCCAGGGCTCCTCAACTGGGGGTAAGTCTCCCGGGCACCTGGACCCATTAGGAGACATTCGTGGTTGGCATAACTTGCGGGTGCTGCTGAGCACCCCACAACGTGTAGGACAGGTCCCCAAGATTACCCGGCCCAAGTGTCCACAGGGCCGAGGTGAGGACCTTGCTCTGGTTCCCGCGCCCTCAGCTTCCCTCCTTGAGTTCTGAACAGCCTATACTTGCAGTCAAGAGACGTGACCACGGCATTAACAAACGGGCCGGTGGCCCCAAGGTGTCCTGCATGGTACCCACTCAGGGGCTGTGGGGGGACAGAAACAACCTCAAGTGTGGTCCCCACTCCCTGCAAAAGCTTCTCCAAGTTAAATGTTTCGGCCGACGAAAGCTCCAGCTAAGAACGCTCAGGGCATCTGCAGAGGCGTCTAGAGCCTGATGCTCCTGCCAGGCCCCCGGGCAGGGACCAGATGGAGAGCCCACTGCTCCTGCCAGCCCCCCTCGCAGGGACACGGCGGGGAGCCTACAGCCCTGCCAGCCCCCCTGGCAGGGAC